CTCTCTCTTTAAAGTTCATCATGGCCTGGATGGGACACATTGAACCTTCCTGTGCCTGCTCATGGAGTAGAGCCTGGTTTAGAACTAGCCTTGGATGACCAGCTGTAGTCCTTGGGCCAGATCTGGCCTCAGCCCATAGCAAGCAAAATTCTGCAGAAACCCAGCCAGTGTGAGGGCACTGTCCTGGCTGCCTCTGAGCTGCAGTGCACAGTTGAATATTATGTCCTCACCACACAGTCGGCCAAGCCTAAAATTTGGGAAGGGAGTGCTGGGCCATTACTTTGTGGTCATATACTCACCCCCTGAGTTTTACTCCAGCCCCTGGAGTGTTTATTCCCTGGCCCTTGATGGGGAACATTGACCCACCTGCCTTTAGAGCCAGACCCCTGCAGCCATGTTCCTACAGTTCAAATCTAGGCTCCCTGACTTCCTGAAGACTGTGTCGCTTTCGCAAACCGCTCACACTTTAATGTCTCAGTTTACTTTAGAGATTGCTTTGAAGAGTGAAATGAGTGAATGCACTCAGAACTTGGGAGTGGCATCTGGCAGCATGCAGCAACAAGAGGCTAGAGTGAATGGGTGATGGACCAGGGCAGTATGAGCATGGATCAGCAGGGGTCTGTCCTGAGAACTGAGCAGTTTAGCTACTTGTCTGTGGGGCAGGATGTATCTCAAACTCAGGCTGCAGAGAGCTATAAACCTCCAACATCCTTTCCTTCTATGCTCTTAAGCATGTGGGGAAGCCGAACCTTACATAAGTGAGAGCCTCGTTGCCCCTGGAGACCCTTTATTGAGCAATGGATTCAGTGCATTCAACTGCCTTCTTGTATGTCTCAATAATAGGACCAGGCAAGGTGAGAAGGCCCCATAAGTATACTTCATACACAGTATGCTTCTTGAATTTGTACCCTGCAGCTTGCTACCAGACAGTGAGACCTATGTACATACTCATTCAGGTGCCACACTTACCCTCCTAGGCTGGCCCTGTTTACTGAGCCCATGTAGCCAGCTTGCCTTGGGTTAGGGGCAGTTATACTATTTATACTAGATGATATAATTGACATTAAACAAAACACACATGAGGGAAGTCTGGATGTTGTATAAATAGGTGCGTCTCCTTGTCTCATGGAGCACCTATGCCAAGGACTCATTTGCAGTGCCGTATTGTCCCGGAGGCTCTTGGACTGTGTACCATGAGGGCCATCTTGACAGATAATGGAGACTGGCCCGAGATGGAGAATCTAGATGACTTGTTCAAGGACACAGAGAAGCAGCAGCTCTAGAAATTGCCTCAATCTGCTTGAGTTTAGAAGCCAGGCCCTTCCCACAGAGGGGCCACTGAAGGATAAGCCACAGAAATGACAAGTGCTCAAAGGGGACAGTCACCTGGGGTGGCTTTTCTCCCTCATGAGCCAGGCGTTTGGAGGCAGGCAGCTGGTGAAGCAGCAGGTGAATGTGCTACCTCAGCACAACCAAAAATGGGCAGCTATTGGGTAAGCAGACAACATTGTCTCCAAAGCTGGTAGGATTTGGATTTGCCAAGAAGATTTTGGAGGATTGTGTTAAAATGGGAAGAAGAGCAGAAATAGGAGCTGAGGGCACAGGTGCAATCAGGACTCTGTCACAAGTAGCATGAATCCTGTTCACATTGGCCTCAGTGAGAAAGTGACAATGGTCTTGCTTCAGGTATGACTGGATCCAAGAGTTCTAAACAAACACATGAAGACTGCATTAGCCTCTCAACTCCCTATGTGTCAGCAGCACGTGGTCCAGTAGCTGGCAACAGATGTGTCTTTAGCTGAGCATCCCTCAAGAAGTTATCGCCTCTCTTCACAACACTAACAGGAGTCCCACATTATTCTCCTTGACTGTCTTAAGTCCATTCCCATCCCTGAAGCAGTTAGCCAGGTGGGTGCCATGAAGGGGTGAAGGGGTTGATAGGCCAGGGCCAATTGGCATTCTTACCCTTGAGCCACACATGCACTGAGGGCAGGTGGGAAAGGTTTCCAGAAGGCCAGCCTTGATATGGTGGGCCTGCTGGACTGCTAGGACACTGACAGTGGCTCCAATCGGCACAACAGTCACATGTGTGGTAGAATGTACTGGAATCAGTGTGGGGGCCCTGCATGCTAGGTGTACTGGGAAAGGTCTGGGTTTGCTAACAGTGGTTTGAACAATGTGAAAGCTGATGTCGTCAGCTGAGTCCTTTTGCTCTACTCAGGTAGAAACCAAAAGTAGCTTCTAGTGTTGGCAGTCCTGGGCCTGTGAATGCTACAGGCTTGAGGGCTGGGCTCAGACTCAGAGACTTGTGTTTCTAAGCCCTGAGAACTAGAGATTTGTGGCACCATATCTGAGTAGTCAGAAACTTCCAGTTCTAGGTGCTCAGGTTAGAGGTTCACTGCTCTGGGGATCAGTCGTCAGTGGCCCAGCCCTTGGCAGCTAGGGAAATCCTGAGCTCTAAGCTGCAGCGGGGGCAGCCAGCACCAGCAGGTGTTACAGCTCTTGAGTCTCCTGTTTTGGGATTCTGTCTTTACTATGGCTAGCTCTCAAGCCTCTGGTGTCAGGACCATGAACTTCAGGGCTTGCAGCTTCCAGGAACTCTTCCTAAGACTGAGGCCTGCAATGACTCATCCAGTGCCTTTTGCCTTCCACAGCATTGACTCTCAGCCTTCTGTCCTCTCTATCCTGCACTGTCCTTGGTCATCTCCCCACGCTTCTGCCCCACCCACTCTCTGGAATTCTGAGCTACTTTTTTTGCCACTGGTTGCAGCTGCCACAGCCCCTGGGTCTCCTTTTTTGACAATTCAGCCTATTCCACTCAGGATAAAAACAAGTAGGTAAGAAAAGATCTTCCAGGAAAGACCAAGGCACAGCACAGGAGAGGAAGGAAGTGTCTCCTGGCTTACTCAAAATGGCAGCTGAATGGCCAGTTTTATAGCCTATAGGGGGTGTGGTTAACTGTGGCATGCAAATAAACTTGTGTATATGTGCACAGTATCTTGCCAGCCCCTGAGCAGATGCACCCCCTCCTGTCCTGAGTGTGAATAGCCTAGCCCAGTGTGCTGGATAGCTTTAGTGTCAACTTGACACACCTGGGTTGAGGGAGCCTCAGTTGGGGAATTGCCTCTATTGGACTGGCCTGTGGCCATGTCTGAGGGGCATCTTGATGAGTGATATGGGAGGGCCCAGCCCACTGTGGGTGGTGCCACCCCTGGGTAGGTGGGCCTGTGTTGCATAAGAAAGCAGGCTGAGCAGGGGCCAGGGGAGCAAGCCAGTAAGCAGCGTTCCTCCATGGCCTGTGCTCTAGCTCCTGCCTCCAGGTTCCTGCCCTGAGTTCCTACCTTGGACTCCGGGATGAAACTGTGACCCGGGATATGTAAGCTAAATAAACCCTTTCCTCCCCAAGTTGGTAGTGGTCAGAGTATTTTGTCACAGCAGTGAAGAACAAACTAGGACACCCAGGGTCATCTGGAGTTTGCTATGGCTTCTCTTTCTGACCTTCACCTCCCCTGCAGGGTTGTCTGGTATGGCCATGGCTTGAACACAGCCTCATGGGGCAAGAGAGTTCTCGGTGACTATAAAGTGTCCAGAACAACCCAAGAGCAGCCTAGTGCTTTGCTAGAGAAAGGGCTGCTTGTCAACTGTTGCCTACTCTTGGGTGCCAGGCATAAGGGGTCTTCCACTCCCATTCACTGACCTCTTCTGATGGCCTTACACATCCACAAGAAAAAAACATTAGAGAGTTCTTACAGGAAAGGCTTAATGAATGCAGAAAACTCGTCTTTTTTAAAACTTTTGTTGGCAGGAGGGGGAGGGGGATACTTATCCCAGGGATTAAACTCTGATCATCAGGCTTGGCAGCAAGTACCTTTATTCACTGAGCCATCTCACCAGTCCCCAAAGTAACCTCCTTAGGAGCACTTTTCAGTGCTTAACAGGGCAAGCTCTGCCCAAGGGGTTTCTGTCTGTCTCAACACCTGAAACAGGAGGGCACCGAGGACCAGGGTCCTGACTGCTCCACCATGCCTCCTCAAAATGTTGCCATCCTCTGAGCAGTGCAGGCAGTTCCTTACCGCTTTCATATTCCAGAGGCAGAGCAAGGCAAGGCAGGCCCAAACCTCTAGGCCCAAACCAGGACACATACACCTTCCCTGTGACCCATAGCTTTTGCAGACATGCTCACATGGTCCCTCAGTCTTTCCTAGCTGCATGGAGGCTAGGGGGTAGTAGAGGTATGCTGGGTACACCTGGAACATGGGCATAGGAGAAGAGGAAGTGGACATTAAGGATAGACCACAGCCCCACATACTAAGCCATTGAATTTGTTCCCCCAAAGAATGGTGCAAGGAACAGCAGGAAGAAAGAAGGTCCAGCAAGGGGAGCTTCTTTAGTCCAAAGATTCTGGCAAGTACCCTGCACTGTATTTTAGTGTACATGTCTACAGTATGTCTGAGTGTGGGCCAGGATTTGCCAAGGCAGGAGTCAGCCAGCTTAAAAGGGCCTATAGAAACTCTACTTAAAATCTTTAAAATTTTTAAAATTTTCTAGACATACTTGGCAAATTTACAGATGAAACAAACACATTGTCATGCAAGTGACATGACCCTGGCAAGTCACAGTAGCTGAGCCAGGCACTGTGGCCCACACCTGTAATCCCATCACTTGGGAGGGAGGCTGAGACAGGAAGATCACTAGTTTGAGGCCAGCCTGACTACGTAAGGAGATCTTGACTTTAAAAACCAGCCCCAAGCCGGGCATGGTAGTACACGCCTTTAATCCCAGCACTTGGGTGGCAGAGGCAGGCGATCTTTGGAGTTTGAGCCCAGCCTGGTCTAAATCACAAGTTCTAGGCCAGCACACAAACTAGCTCTAAATCCTGACTGCTGTCATGTGCAGCCCACAGCACCCTCAGAATCTCATTCCCACGGCCAGCCCTCCCTGCCCCTGAGAAGAGCCACCTCTCTTCTCCTCAGCTCAACACTCTCAATTTCTGTGTACAGAAATCCGTGCAGATCAGAACTGAAGCAGGCCCACGGCTCTACATTAAACCTCCTTTGGACTGTTCGGAAGAGTTTGAGCCACAAGGGGATGCGACTGGCAAGTCCAAGGTCTCCACTGAGGACCATGCACAGGTAGGGACTGGCCTCAGCTTAAGCTCAGGGCTCCCACAGGCCAGCAGGGCTCAGTGCTCTCAAACCCTTGACTGGAACTCTTTCCAGTGCCTACTTATTCTAGATACTTCATTCTTCTCTCATCTCACACATTAATATATATTATATATTCGTGTGTGTGTTTATATATTCATGTGTATTGATATGTATTCGTATGTATTATATATATTCACATATATATTTGTGTGTGTGTGTGTGTGTGTGTGCACATGTGCATGTGCCCATGCTCCCATGCATGTACCACAAAGCACATGCAGAGGTCAGAGGACAGTTTGGGAGTTAGTTCTCTCCTTCCACCTGGATCCTAGGGCTTATATATGGCAAGCACCCTTGCCTGCTAAGCCGTCTCATAGGCCCTCATCTTACACATTTTGATGTGCACACAAAAGAGTACGTGCCGCTTGTCTAGTGGTGGGGTCAGTCAGCATGTCATCATTTCACGGTGAGAAGGAGCTGGGAGGCAAAGCCAGGCGCTTTGTTGGGAAGGCCTTCTAGAAGGAATGGAGCTTGCCCTTGGCCATAAATACTGGGGAAGTCTGAGGGACAGGGGGCCAAGAACAGGTATATGTGTGCCAAGGCCTGTGAAACATCCTGGATGGGCAGCAGAGTCTATCCGTAAAGCACCCAGAGGCCGGGGAGCTGCAGTTCAGAGACTGTTGGCACTGCAGATGATGAGGGGTGATGGGTACTCCCCTTCCTTGGACTGCCTTCCTTGGACTGCCTTGGTACTCCCCTTCCTTGGACTGCCTTCTCGTTTTTTTTGTTTTTGGTTTTTTTTTTTTTGGTCTTTTTGAGACAGTCTCCTTGTAGCTCCAGCTGCCTGGAACTCACTCTGTAGACCAGGCTGGCCTCAAACTCACAGAGGATCTGCCTGCCTCTGCCTCCCGAGTGCTGGGATTAAAGGCATGCGCCACACGCCCCGCTCTCATTTCTGATAATATATGTCTCAGACTCTCCTACAAGTGTTTGTAGACAGCACATTCCTGAGCCTCAAGCTCTGTCCTCAGCACCAGAAACACAGAAATCAACAAAGCACATGAGGTATGTTTGTAATCGACTTATGTTCTAGGAGACAGACAACAAAGAAAAAAGTAGAAAGAAATAAGGTCATTTGAGGTGTAAGTTCTCTGAAGAAAAGAGAAGAGAGAGCTGTACAAAGTAGTACATTTGTGTAATCCCAGTGCTTAGAGTCAGAGAGGAAGAGCCCAAGATCAAGGCTAGCCTAGGCTATGTGGAGAAACCCAGTCTAAAACAATAACAAAATAGACAAAATCAGAAGAGGGAGATGGACAGCAAAATGTTATAGGGAGAGAATACTGTACACATTGAACAAGAACAACCTGGTAGGAAGCAACAGGAAAAGCATTCCAGACAAAGGGAACAGCCTATGCAGGGGCAAAGGCTTATTCAAGGAGTACGATGCCACTGTGAACAGGGGACCAGAGAATGAGTTGAGACTGGAAGACAATGTGGTTGCCTCGGCTGGAGTGTGGGGATAGGAACTGAGAACTGGAATTTCATCTAAGGTCATCGATCTTATAATTGAAATGAAAGTAGATCATCTTCATGTTATGTAGAGGCAGAATTCTGGAGCTGTGGCAGGCGATTCTCAAGCTTCCATGCAGACCCTACCCCACTGGTAGACAGCACTGCTCAGCTGGGGATGCTGCCTCAAGATTCATGGCCTCAGCCAGTGGTAGCACCTTGCTTTCGCATGTGGCTTTGATAGCTGTCTGCTTTGCTGCAATGTGAATGACAGAAAAGAGCTGTCTGTAGTTATCTAAGAAACTCCCACTCTGACCTCTGTTCCATGTCTGAAGCTCCTTGTTTGCTTAAAAGAGAGGGTGAGGAAGTTACTGGGATCCTCTGCCTCATACCATGGGTGCAAAAAGTCTGAGACGTAACCAGCAATGTTTGTCTTCCTGAGGGAAGGTGACCCTATCAATAACCATATCCTGTCCATAAAAGTGGGATGAAACAATGGGCAAACCTTCAGATTCACTGGTCTGCATAGCGAGTTACAGGCCAAAATGAAATAAAATAAAAATAAGCTACTACACTGTGGAGATTTCATGGGTACAGCTTTCCTGTCATGTCTAGAATGCATTAACTAGCAGCAAATGTCTTGTCCCTCTGGTGCTTACATTCTTTCTGCCCCCTCTTCCGTGATGTTCCCTTGAGCCTTAGATACAGAGGTTGCATTGTAGATGTGTCACTTCGGGCTGGGCACCCACAGTCACTTATTCTCTGTATTTTGACTAGTTGTGGAATTTTGTAAGAGCCTCCATGTGTTGTAAAAAGAAGCTTCTTTAATGAGCGATAAGAGCTACACTGGAATATATGGCTGTGAATATAGGACATGTATTTAGAATATAGTAAGAAATTACATTGGTCTAGGAAAGTGACAGTAGTATGTTCTTCTCTAGGGTCTGTGACCTCTCCAACCATGTGTACTTGGCTATGTCTACGATACCATGCATGGATTCCCTCATATTGAGCAGGCCTTAAGTCCAATTAGACAGCTGTTGATTACCTCCAAGGAAAAGTATCCCTCACTATTCCACAGTATAGTGGCCTAACAAGACCTGCATAATGACAAAATCAGTTGACATGCCAATGTTGATGGGGGAAATTTCACATGGTCCCACCTCTAGATGAAAAGCTATAATTCAGGGGCTAGAGAGTTGGCTCGATGGTTAAGAACACTGACTGCTCTTGTGTAGGACCTGGGTTCAGTTCCCAGCACCTACATGACAGCTAACAACCATCCTTAACTCCAGTTCCAGGAGATCCAATGCCCTCTCCTGGTCACTGCAGGCATTATATGACATGGGTGCACTTACATACATGTAGACCAAACACTTATACACATAAATTAATTTTTTTTAAAAAAGAGTTATAATCAATGGATGCTGAGGGAGGGAATATCAGTTTTCTGCAGGGACTAGCTCCCTGATAGGTTATCTAATCCCAAGCAGGCAGCCCTAAACACAGGTACACAATCACCA